GGTGGGGTCAGGAGGCTGGGGGGCGGTGGCGCCGTAGGGCGGGTTTAGCATGTCAGGGCCGCACACGGGCCAAGCGTAGACGGCACTGGAAGTCCTGATGCGCGAGGGCCCCAGGCCGCGCGCTCGCCGCGTGTGCAGCTGCAATTGGACAAGCGAGGGGCCGCGGGCGGCGCGGCTCACCGGGCTCCACGGGGCACTTGTTCGACACCGCCAGGTAGATGGAGCTGCCCATGAGCTCAAACTGGTTGCCGCACTGGACCTGCACGTGCGTTGGAGATGCAACATGGGATGCAGAGGATGCGGTGGCGTGGCGTGGGCTGGGTGGGCGCGGTGTGGTGCTGGCGGTCTAGGACAGACACACACACGCATGTGTTACTCTCCGACCTCCACAGCGACAGCCGCTGCGCCTGGCACCCCAGACCCCCTTTGCCGCCGCCGCACTCCCCTCAGCACACCGGGACGCGCTCGCCGTCCTGGCGACCCCTCCTGAGACCCCTTCCCCCCTGGACAATGCAGCACAGCACGCACGCGCTCTCCCTCCCCACCCCTGCGGCCCGCCCCTTGCTCCCGCCCTGTGCCGGCCGATTGATGCTGCAAACACTGATTTGAAATTGGCACCCCGCCCCCGAGCCCCACCTTTGACTTGATGGATCTGAAGTAGTCGTCGCTCCTCACAAAATGCACGTCGGGGTCCCACGAGCTGTCCCAGTCCCCTGCCTTCTCGTACATCGTCGCAAACACGGTGTCGTTCGAGATACCCAGCTTGATGCACTCCGCGGCGCCCCCGATCTTGCCGCAGGCCTCGTTGCCCCAGTCGTAATCAACAAAACCCGCGATCTTGCCGCCTGAGGCGGCCGTCAGGTTTTCGAGCTTGAGGTCGACGAAGGCGGTCTGGGGCGTCCGAGAAACAGCAGGTGCAACGAGGTGCGTGAGGGCCGTGTGGGCGTGTGCGTGCACGCGCCGTTGCGCCTGCTGCGAGTTGTGGTAGGGAGCTGGGAACACAGCAAACAGCAGAAGAACAGCAGAAACGTGCTACCCAAGCCATGCTGCTTGCAGAACCAAACTGCCCCGCAGCCCGACGCGTTTTTGGCAGGCGCTCAGCCTGGGCCAAGGTCCACCCTCGCACCTTGGACACAAACAGGTCCGAGGGACATCTGATCTGGTAATCGTCGAGGCTGTGGCAGTCTGGGCGCTTGGCGTGCACCAGAACCCAGTCCGGCTGTAGCCTGTTCACTCGTAGCGTAGCATGGGCGCCTGAAAACGAATTCTTGACCGCTGTCAGCGTCTCGCCATTGTCCTTGCTCACCCTGGTGTTTGAGCGGGCAAGGTGATTTCACTAGGAAGTCAGCTCAGCGGGCGAGACGAGATGATAGGCATTTGCTTGCAGTGCTCAGTGCGCTGGCAGGCCGAGCGGTGCTTTGCTTCAGCCACCATGACAGCTGCCACGCGCTCGCCATCGCGCGTCCCTTGAAACAATCCAGCAGCTGCGTTTGCATGCACGGCTCGCCACGGCTGCCCTGCCCGCGCGCCCCGTGCTTGGAGACACAATACACCGCACGCACCACATGTAGCGGCCAGCGCCCACAAAAATGGTCTGGCCTGGGTTGGTCTTGTGGGCCATGACATGGACAATGGCGATGGGCTCCTCGCCCTTGATGGAGCCTGTCGCGTGGGGTGGGTTGACGAGTCAAGCCCCCCACATGGGTCAGAGCTTAGCTTCACTTTGGGGTGCCATCCGCACAAGCTGCCCCGCAGTGCCTTTTGCGCTCAACTGCCACGACGTTCCCGTCAGCGATGTAATCGCTGGCCTGCCATGCCGTATAGTCCTCAGTGTCTCTGTCGTCGTGCCGGCTGCCCCAGTGCTGCTGTTGCATGCTTGGGTTACCACCACACCAGCCCAACTTAATTGCCTACTGTTGAAACGATCTGTGATGTCCACAAACGAGGAGCCCCCGTCCTTGGACCGCCAGATGCGGTTCTGCAGCGTCACCACGAACACATTCTGCAGGCAGTGGTGTGAGGCAGGCGGTTCGGCGCGGGGGGCGCAGGTCAGTTTGGGCGGCGGTTGCATCGTGTCATCAAATTGCACAACTCAATGCAGCTGCGCCGACCCGTTCGGCAAGCCCTGCTAGCCACGCCAAATTGCCTGTGCGTCCTTATGCAAAACCGTCTTCTTTGCAGCGGCGGACACACTTGATCGCGAACCCCTCGAGATGTGGCATGCACCTGGTCGTCGGCGCCGACCCACTCGACGCCCGTCACCTTCGACTCGAACTTGGCCTGCGGACAGAAGCGCGCTTGTACCGTGCAAAGCCTCAAACAGTAGCGATCCCTTGCCAAACCCATCGACGCACCGGCTTCAAAGGGGCGAAGGTTTGCGCGTCGCACGCATCCTGCAGCTGGCGCGCTTGCGCCATCACACACGCCACCATGCATGCTAGCGCCAGCCCGATTAATGCCCTTGCCATGATCACACGCTTTCCGGCACTCAAATGTGATCTACTTTGGTGCACAAGGCTCGTATGTAAGGAGACCGTCACACATCTCGTTTTCAACGGTAATTTCGTATTGTTGAGAGCGTCCTGCATACACTAAACATTGCTCCACCTTCCACACGGATTCCTGTTGTGTTTCGGGCGACCTGCTTTTCCCGCTTGTCATCCACATGGAATGCCAAATCGACACTTGCTTATGATGGGATAACAACCGTTGATAAATCACCGCAGGGAGAGCTGAAACACCATACAGTGCTGCTGTGCCCGCGCAACCTGACACTAGCAGCACTATGAGGCGGCAATTCTACTCCAGAAGACGCCGATACATCGTTGCTGCACCCAAAATACGATCAGCGAGGAGTGACGAGCCCCTAGAGCTGCCGGAGTGGGATGTGAGCGGTGCAAAAGGCCCCTTTCGACAGGATCGCTGCGAGCGCTCCTGCTGCAATGCAGCGCCTGTCAACGGCTCCCGCATTTCAAATTGCGCTGTAGGACACTGTTCAAGACCTTGCCCAGTACAGGCTTTCACCCGAGCAGCAGGTGAGGCAGGCAGGCCCCATTGTTGACTTTGCTCGCAGGTTGGATCGACAGCGATGCAGCACCGAGCGCCAAGCCCCCATACGCTTCCTCTCCGCCCCCCATCCCCCACAAAAAAATCTCAGCTCCGAAAGAAGCTGTCTCGCATCTCCAAGCACAAGCTGGTGACGCCGCCTTCCTTCTTCAAGAGCCCCACCCAGGCTGCAGCTTCGCAGCAGCAGCAGCAGCAGCAGCAGCAGCAGCAGCAGCAGCAGCAGCACGCAGGTGAGACTGATTTGCAACGGCGTGTGTGGTTTATGTTGCTGCAAGTAGGGTGTTTGGGGTCATCTTATTGAAAGGTCAACGCACAAGGCGCAAAACAGCAGCAGTCCAGCTCATGAGCGACCACGCCTGGCTCACGGTAGCGTGTTGGCATTCGAACCACTCGCTTCACACCTCAGGCACTGCGCGCTACTCGCCGCAAGATCATGACGAAGACAGCGGGGATGATTATGAGTATCTCGGGCGCGCTGCGAGCCTCGAGTATCGTGGGGCACATGCTTCAGGCGAGGGCGGGATTGGGCTTGGAAGCGGCAGCGCCAGCGACAGCAGCAGCTGCAGCCACAGCAACGGCGAGCTCAGCTCAGATGGTGAGGGGGTGGAAGACGAGGGCAGCGATACAGGAGGCAGCCAGGGCTCCCGACGCGCCGACGGCAGCAGGGCAGCGCCCGGCCAGCGGCGGAAGGAGGACTCGTGGCAAGCCGTGCTGGGAGACAAAACCAACAGGACAGCATCGCTGCACACACCTCAAGGGGTAACCCGCAAGCCTGATGCGCGGCAGCAGCAGCGGCAGCAGGAGCAGCAGCAGCAGCAGCAGCAGCAGCAGCAGCAGCAGCAGCAGCAGCAGCAGCAGCAGCAGCGGCTGCTGCAGCGCCAGCCCCGACCCCACCTGTGGACAGAGTGTGACCAGCTCCTCCAGCCACAGCGACACTCATGGGCGGCGCATGTCGAGGGTTCATGGCGCTGCAGACGCACGGATGACGGCTTTGCTCTGGCCGACGCCTCGTACGCCCTCTTGTCGAGCTTGGGCGCACAGGTGCGTGTGCACATGGGATGGGCCTACAGGCCCGGGGTGGTGTCGCACCACTCGGCAGAAATCTAACGCAGCTGCTCGCAATGGGGTCCTGCTCTTGATCTGCTATAATGTCCACCGGGGCATGATGGACCATGTGGCACCGTCCCACTGCAAATGTGCTTCTTCACAACCTCCTTGCCAGGTGGAGGCGCTGGAGTCAGAGCTAGCGGGGGCGCGGCAGCAGATTGAAACGATGCAAGGGGACCTGCAAAGCGCGCGGCAGGAGCTGGCTCACACCCAGCAAAATGTGCGTGGGTGGGCTTGCGGCATGGGATAGGAGACCGGGGATTCGGACCCGCAACAATGCAGCACACGCCTTCTGCCATACATGCATGAATACATACAACAGTGTGCCAGGCAAACGTTGCCTGTTGCTGTGAGACCGACCTTACCGTATCAAATAGCCCTGGTGTGTTACAGAAAGTGCTCAGACTGCGTCACCCATCTTGACTCGTCACCCATGCTTTGCCTACTCTTGCCCGTCCATCACACGCAGTGTGCAGCGCTGGAGGAGCAGCACGCTCGCTACGTCAGCCAAACCACTGCGATGCTTTCACGTCTGCAGGCGCAGATGCAGCAGCTCGTGCAGCAGAGCCTGAGCTCCACGCCGCTTCTGCCGTCACATAGCATGCCGCATCCCGCAGCGCCAGCACGACTTCGCTCTGGTGAGGCATCGCTGAGTGACCGGCTGGCGCCGCTGTCTGCCCAGAAGCATGCGGCGCTCGGGTGGCCCCACCCACTCAATCAGGCGCCGCCGCCGCCGCAGCAGCAGCAGCAGCAGCAGCAGCAGCAGCATGTTGCCCACTTGAGGGACCCTCTTGAGGACGAGGGGGGTGTGGTTTTGCCCAGCTACTCTGAGATGCGCCGCAGCACCTCCAGCGCACCAAGCGCGCCCGTCGCCGCCGCCGCGGGGAGCTCCGCTGCGACCCCTCTCAAGTGGTTGCCGCAACGGCCTGCAGCACGGCTCCCGCAGCCAAACGCGGCGCGCGTCCCCGCAGTGTTTACGAACGCCATCGCTCCATCTGGCGGCACCTCGGCAGGGACGGTTGCGGGGCAGACGCAGGCGGCGAGCGTCCTGGAGGCAGGGTGGCAACCTGGCTCAGGGCCCGTGCGTGCGGTGGCCTCGCGCTACCACTCACCCTCGCACGCACGCAGCGGCTGCGACACGCGCGGCGGGGTCCTGGGCGACCTGCTTAGGCAGCAGGCAGTGCATCCGGCACAGGCTGCGCAGACAATGTCTTTTCTGCTGCGAACGCAGCGACGTTAGGCCCGTAGGTGTATGCTGAAGTATGCGGAGGTACGTACGTGCCCAAAGCCACTACCTCGCGGCTGTGACACATGCTGTGACACCAGTTGGGACACAGCCACGCACCATGACTCGACACGCGACGCGCAGGTGATGCCGAGTGACTTTTTACACGCGCACGCAGTGGCCCCGCAACGCGGGTGTGGGTGCAGGCTGTTGCGTCCCACATCCCCGTGTTGTGTGTAATATCTGTCAGCGTTTTCTCAGCCCTTCCGACCCACAAGCTTGCCCGCGTGCCCTGACTCAACTCGCAGCGCCCATGTCCGGGGGTGGCTGACACGAGGAGGAGTCATGACCAGTAGTTGATGGCTGCTAGAATGGAATTTTCGTGTGTTGCGACCCAAATTATTGCGGCAGCCCCTGGGACACGCGCACACACTTGCTCGCCGGTTGTCCACAGGCGCGAATCCCCTCATTCATGACCAATCTTTCACCACTTCCATGACCTTCGTGGCAACATCTCTTTCTTGTTTCTTTCGTTTCCACCCGATCGACAGCGTTTTTTGTACTTTAGACGGCAGCCCTGCTGGAGAGCGTTGGGAAGCCGCCCTCGTGTGTCCAGCCTGTGGGCCCTCGTGGCCGCAGAGCTCCCTGCGTGCCCTTCATAGATCAATAGTCAGTGAGCCAGCGCGCTCGTCTGATAGACCGCGGTCCAGCTCCGAGTGTGACCGCCTGGAAAAAACGAAGGCGGGCCCGCGATTACAAACAAGCTGCGTCAAGCGCGCACTTCCGGGAACAGATGCCCTGTTTGCGATCCGATCACTGATGTCGAGGTCGGGGTCCCCCAAGGGGGCCGGTGCTGCCGCCGCCAAATCGCTGCCAGCGAGTTCTGCGGCCCTCAGCACGCTCGCAGCCGCCCTCGGCATCCCATTGTCGGCGCCCGCCGACATGCTCACGGCCGACGCCAAGGCATTGGCACAGGCGCTGGCGGTCGCCGAGCTGCAGCTGCGGGGCCCTGCAATGCCCGAGTTTCGCGCGGGACCTGTCACGCCGGCACATGCAGCCGCTGCGGCCGGCAGCACTTCAGGCGAATTGGCCGCGGATGATCTCCTGCACCTGCTGAGTCAGCACCTACCCTCCATCCAGCACCAGCTCCAGGCCCGTCAGCACTCGCAGCACCTGCAGCAGCACCAGCAGTCGCTGCCGGTGGAGCCAGCCGCGCCCTCCGCGCCCATGCTGCTGCCGCCGGCGTCGCAGCCGCAGAATGCGGCCGCGGCTGTGGGCCTGGGTTTGAGCGCGAACCTGGCGCGTCTGCTGGCAGGTGACCAATTGGAGGCGCTTCTTTCTGTGGCTGCACAGCTGCCGCCGCAGCAGCACCAGCACCAGCAGCGGCAGAACCAGCACTCGGCAGCGCAGCGCTCCCTGCTGTCAGCCGCCGCGCCCGCGCTCAGCGCAGCGCCCTCGCTGCTTCTCGCCGCGGGCATGCCGGCGGCGGCCTCCGCCCACCCCCATGATGACGGAGTCGTCGCTCTGGCGCTGCAGGCGCGCCTGCTGCTGGTGCAGCAGCAGGCGCAGCAGCACGCGCAGCAGCACGCGCTGGAGCAGCAGGCGCTGGAGCTCGAGTTGGCGCGCCAGCGGCGGCAGCACATCGCGCGCCTGCAGCTGCAGCAGCTTGAGGCGGCCAGCCAGCTGACTCAGCTCGGGCTCGGGCCGCTCGCGACAGCGGCGCCGCCGGTGGCGGCGCCGGCAGTAAACGCCAGCGACGCCGCTGCGGCGGCGGGCACTGTGGGCGGCCGGGACGGCAGCGGCGGCGACGACGGCTACAGCACCGGGGTGAGCGTGCGGGGCGCGTGCGTCGACCCCGAAAGCTGACAGGCTTGGTCGCATGACGTGCCGGGTCAGAAAGATGCGAGGGGATCCATCCTGCTTCAAGACGCCCGCCTCCTCACCTTCCCTACCTACTTTTCTCCTCCTTGCGACCTCTTCTGCCACCATCGCGGTACATCCGCAGGACACAGACCCAGACAGAAACGACCCCCACGCACGCAGCG